GAGTAGGTGGGTGGACAGTATTGAAATGGATATCAGAGAGATATGATGGGATGGTATGGATTGGATTGATGTGGCTCAGGATAGGGACGGCTGGAGGGCTCTTGTGACCACGGTAATGAACCTTCGGGTTCCGTAAAATGCTGGGAAGTTCTTGAGTAGATGCACAATTGGCAGCTTCTCAAGAAGGGCTCAGCTCCATGAGTGAGTGAATAAAAAAAGAAAACATTTTCCTTCATAATATGAATGTTCTTGAGTACTGGACTTCGTGCTAAAAGACATACCTCTGACGGATAAATTACAGAAAACAAACAGAATTATTAAATATGTCAAGTGAAGGATAACTCGCCGATCAGTGTGCGCGCCGTCTGAGGCATGAAATGTCTCTGCCTTCTCTAACACTGGGAACGTGGGTTCGAATCCCATTCGAGGCGTGGATGTCTGCTTTTCTTCTATGTTTGTGCTGTCCTGTGTAGGCAGTGGCTTTTTGCGACGGGCTGATTCCTCGTCCAAGGAGTCCTACCACCTCTCTGTAAGATTTATAATTTCAGAGTTAATTCTGAATGGGAACAGCCCAGAGAGCCCGATTCGACAAGGCGGAAGAAGAACAAGTACTCTTCATATTATTAACAAGGTTAGATGGTTCTACTCTGATCGTTCCACACAGGCCGATCTTCTCAGTTGTGATATGTAAGAAGTTTTACATACGAACTGAGTGTTGCTTGTTTACTGACGAGGGTGGCCCTCCGCACGTTTAATGAAATAAATGAATTACTTACTTACTTACTTACTTATGGAGCTGAGCCCTTCTGGAGGAGCCGCCAATTCTGCAGCTACTCAAGAACTTCCCAGCATTTTTATGGAACTCGAATGTTCATTACCGTGTTCACAAGAGCCCTCCACTGATCCCTATCGTGAGCCAGATCTATCCAATCCAATCCATACCATCCCATCCTATCTCTCTAAGATCCATTCTAATATTGTCCACCCACCTACGCCTTGGTCTTCCCTGTGGTATCTTTCCTTCTGGCTTTCCCACCAATATCCTATACGCATTCCTCGTCTCCCCTATTCGTGCTACATGACCTGCCCACCTCATCCTCCTTGAAAATGAATAGATGACTGTATTTATTTATTCACCAAAACGGAAAATACCAATTACATTTTTCAAAGAAAGCGGTGACGAGGATGATGATACAATATTTTAAGTAGTTTTATCATCATTTTCGACTGTTTATTTATAAACCAGGCCTTTCCAGAAACTACTTTCTCTCCACATGTGAACCTAGGCTTATGTTTTAATAAAGGCGGTCCTATCAGGAAAATGAATACTGCTGCATCATCAAGGTGCTTTTGGGGAGGGAGAGATTGCGTATGAAGGTAAGATTGTATGCATTCTGAACTCGACACTAGAGGGTGCTGAGTGGTGAGCTTCTCGTTCAGACTAATGTTACATTCGGGGTGAGACCATCTGGTACACCTAATGCAAGGAAGCTGATTCCGGCTTAAAGTCGTGTGCTCCTTGGTCGTTCAGTCCATACCTACTCTCTCTACTACTGTGTGAAGCATTGTCATGATTTAGTCACTAAACACGGGATTTGGATTGGTAATTGGATCTACTGAATATTTATAACTCGTAACTACAAGTAACTAACGCCATCGCTGATCTGCACATATTGAATTCACTATGGCACACGCTAATTCTTCTTAGTTCGTATTCACTAGCCGTTGCTAGGTTACGGCTCTCAGCAGTGGAGATTCCTCAGCTTCCGTGTACAACGGCTTCTGTCCTCGCTGGCTGGCGACTACCAAATAGCTAACCCATGACGGCTACTCCCTCACACTCTCGACGGACTAAAAAGTCAAAGTCAAGGTTACATTATGACCGACGGTAATTCGGCCAACCAATCTTGGTGTCAAGTCCCATCTTGGGCTCAAGACCGTTTGTTTCACTTGAGGACGGAGACACAATCCACTCTCCGAAACGTCTTTAAATAAAAACAGGACGATGGATAATATCCAGAAAGTTAGTAATTGTATTAATATACCATTGCCACATGCTTTTAGATCTTAAATTCATGGATTTGAGTCCTTTTTGAGAAGCCACCAGTCGGTCAGCTATTCAAGAAGTTCCAAGAATTGTATCTGACAGTTTATTACCGTATTCTCTACAGCCCACCACTAGTCCCCATCCTGAGCCAGATCAATCCAGTCCATACTAACCCCTACCATATGTCTAACTATATCTTAAGGCTGCGCCATAGCTCAAGCGGTTAGTCGCTGGCTTTCCACCGCGGCGGCCCGGGTTCGGTCCCGGGTCTGGTCAAGTGGGATTTGCGGTGGGCAAAGCGGAGCTAGGGCGGGTTCTCTCCGAGTAATTCGGTTTCCCCGGCCAATCTTCATTCCACCAGTTGCTCCACAATCACCCTCATCTATCATCTGTGGCTGGTACAATAGGCCAGAAGTGGCCGCAGTACAAGGGACTTAGTCCCACCCCACTAGCAATAAAGAAAAAACTATCTTACATAAAATTTATATGATTACAGATATATTAGTTACAGACGTGGAGATACTCTCCTGCAGTGTTTTAGTCTACTTTCCTTATTTTGAGAAAAGTGAAAGGAGGCTTATGAGATCACCTTTCTGTCTGTGTATCCGTCTATCTCTGTTCATCTGCCTGTATAGCTCCATATTTTTAGGCTTATGATATCGCCCAGCTGTCTGTGTATTCCCCATTAATTTTTGTTCTGAAGTTTTTTAGATCACTTTACTTTGTCGTTCCACTAATTTTTTTTCCGTTTGCTGTGCTCTCCGTCTCATATCAGGGAAATTAGGCGGTTAATTCTTCTAGAACTTGTTAAACATTTACATCTGCAGGACAGTAGTGATAGAGCCGTTGGCAGCATGTCTGCTATATACCCACTGGAACGGGACTGTCTCTGCCGTTGCCAGGAAACTTTTAGTAACAGTGAGAATACTATACTCTGTGTTTTATTGACATGTAAAATGTAGAAATAGCAGTGATGTTACAGATATTTGTAGTTACGATCTATAAATGATCAGTAAATCTATTCACCAATCCAAACCCCGTCTATAGCCACACATACTACGTTACAATAAATATCATAAGAAGCCAATCGTGATTTCCTCAGGTAAATGGTCGGATTCAGTGTAGTGCTGAATGTCATTATAAGAAGTCGTATTTTTTTTATTGCTAGTGGGGTGGGACTAAGTCCCTTGTACTGCGGCCACTTCTGGCCTATTGTACCAGCCCCAGATGATAGGTGAGGGTGATTGTGGAGCAATTGGTGGAATGAAGATTGGCAGGAGAAACCGAAGTACTCGGAGAAAACCTGCCCCAGCGCCACTTTGTCCACCACAAATCCCACTTGATCAGATCTGGGATCGAACCCGGGCCGCCGCGGTGGGAAGCTAGCGACTAATCGCTTGAGGTATGGCGCGGCCTTAGGAAGTCGTAAGTCATTGGCCTTATATGTGTTGTGTATAGGGGTCAGCTCAAAGTGATCTATACTTGAATATCAGATTGTTTTGTGCCACAGAATTTAACCTTTCGCGTATCAAATGCAAATTGCCTGTTTACGGTGACTTGAAACACCGACGTTACGCAAAGAGGCTTTCTGTTTGTAGCTGATCACTTGCGTGCACGTTCTCCATTGTGTTGGTTTCCGGAGAGAAGCATACCGTTTGCAGTATACATAATTCCCAAGAATCATGGAACCATGTACGATCTAAACTGTGGTATACTAATACAATTAATGACTTTCTGGACGTTCCTTTTATCCTGATTTTTATGTAAAAAAAAGAAACGTTTCGGACACTGAACTCTGCCTCTGTTCTCAGGTTAAAAGCCTTGGTGATAGGTCCGGGGATAGGGACTAGTTCCTCTCTATTGACCCCAACTGAATAGGCTTTTACGTGAAGGATACAGAATCCAGTCTCCGAAACATTGTTTTTAAATTGAAAGCGGCGGATGATATCCAGAAAGTCAGTAATTGAGACCCAGAGCTATTTATATAAAAGTACCTACCTACCACTCGGCGATACAGCCCTGGGTCAGCCTTGGCCTCCTCTGCAACCAGTCTCCACAACCAGAGCGTGCTGCCATAGGAATGGATCCGCGCATGATGACCCGAGGTTGTTTGTTAAGTTTCTGAACAAAATTCTTTTTGCAGGATGAGGTTGTTAGTCTCATGCCCAACCCCCAACCTGGAGGTCCAGGGTATCTCTCTTAGTCTGGACTCTACCCTTTGATCTTTCCGGCATCGGTGGCCCTACTGGTAGTTAAACTACCGCCGGAATAGCTCTCCAGGTCACAGTCACGCAAGACCCACCACCACGACAAGGTGAAGACATCTTAGGGGACATTAAAGTGTCTAAAACTGTTAAAAGGGCAGCACTGGATTGGTTAATTTCAAATTCTGTCAGATTTGAGGTCCTCACGGTTGTGGCAACGAAAAGCACTGTCTTCTGGGAAGTGACGCCGTGTATTCTGGTAGGAATTTGCCCATGTTTCGAAGGGAAGTATTCCTTTGTCTCCAGGGTTGGATAGTAAACGAATTAAAGAGCAAGAAGTCTGATAAAGTAGAGAAGAGGATGAAATTGTATTCCTCCCCAAATGTAATTACGTAAACGAGGATGAGATGGTCATGGGTGCATGAATAGAAATGCATACAGGATTTTTGATTAGAGAGACAGAAAGAAAGTGATGACTAGGGAGACCTACACAAGTAGAGGATAATATTAAAATGGATGTTAGAGAAATAGGGACTTGGGTGGTATGGAGTGGATTCGTGTGGTTCAGGATAGGGACGAGTGGAGGACCCTTGTGAACACGGCAGTGAACCTCCGGGTTCCATAAAATGTTTGGAAATTCTTGAGTAGCTGAGCAACTGTTGGGTTCTCAAGATGGACTCAGCTCCATGGAGCGAGCGAATATAGTAATCACACGTGTGTCATGTTAAATAGCCTGTTCTTCTCCACAGATCCTCGCGTAAACCACTGGTCCATGATGAGCAGTCCCTTCCCGACGCTGGCGATTTGTCTGTCCTACGCGTACTTTTCCAAAGTCCTGGGCCCGCGGATGATGGAGAACAAGAAACCTCTGAACCTTCGTAACGTCCTAATTATCTACAACTTCTTGCAGACAGTCTTCAGTTCTTGGATCTTCTACGAGGTGAGTTATAGCTTCAATTATAACATCTTTGTTTCCTCAACTTGTTGGCCTAAGGGCAAGAACTATCAAGTAATAGGTCTATTTATTTCACTGCTATGTATTTGGTCTATAAAATCTCTCACTCACAGATTACAGAATTCGTATTCGTCATTTTCCATTGACAAATTCTGTACGATATACGGGTCGATTCTGAATTATTGTCTGGGTTTTTGTGGCCTATAAACGGAAACCCCAACAATAATTTGGAATCACCCTGTGTTATAGTTTGGATTCTTCAGCAGATATTATTGGGAAGACCAAATAAAGGATGATGAGATGCGCTGGGTTTGTAACACGAATGGTCGAACTGAGATGTAGATAAACACTTTGACGTGAAAACCTGAAGGGTCAAGATTATTTGAAAGACGTAGCCATACATGAGAGGATAATAATAAAATGGATCTTAAAAAAAAGGGTGTATGGGTATGGACTGAATTGATTTAGTTCGCAATAGGGAACACCGGTGAATTCTTATGAACCTTTTGGTTAATCAAGTGTAGTTTAGCTTTTCAAAAGGAGCTCTGGTCTATGAAGTTAGTTTAATTTTATCTGCCTAAAATTTTGGACCCACCAGTAAGAGATGTGAACTCTCCACGGATTACTACGTAAAATTCTAGGAAAGTAACAAGTTGCCAATACAACAATTGACCGAATCCTACGAAACTTGATTCTGTTCTATGGTAACGACTCTGTCAGTATCTAGACCTTGAGCAATATGGCGAATCAGAAAAGATTTGGAAGGAAGCGGTCGTGGCCTAATCCAGGTACTATACCAGCATTTTCATGGAGGAACTAAGGAACACCACGCAAAACCTCAGGATAGTCGATGTCCCGGCTGAAATTCGAACACAGTGCCTACTGAATACAACATACATCTAAACCAATCTGTTCGGTCTATAGAAGTCTCGCAACATTATGGCGCGACATTTCCGCTCTTACTAGTTTCAGAATTTTGAATTATATTCGAAGGTTTCCTGGCGGTGTAGGCCTGGAATCTATCCGTCTAACCGTCGCTCGATAAGCGGGCATAGGTATGCCTAGCCTGTAGTCACGACAAGTTCGACATTGCGTGAAATTATATTCACGAATCGATCTTCTATTGTTCTGCCTCCTGTTTTAAGCCAGTTCCACACGACCCATATATTCGACGGGTTTTCAGCATTCGCGTATACTTGTCACTGTTTGTAGGAAGGGAACTTGTACTAATATTCACCATGTCCGACTTCCCAGGGTTAATTGGTAAATTGGACAGAAGTCAACGGGTGACGAATGTCCGTCTAGTGTGTCCGTTCCCCTCTAAGCGGCAATCTGCCCGTGTTACACACCGCTAACCGTTGTTCGCTGTATTTTATGGATGTCTTAAGTCTAAAATTCGAACGCTCAAACGAATTAAACATTAAAATTTTTACATCGTTATGAAAAGGAAATTGCAATTTGAAATCCGAAAGACATTTTACATAAAANTGTTTTTTTTTTTTTTTTTTTTTTTTAATTTTAGTTTCTTGGGGTGGGGTGAGACTGAGTCTACTTGGTATGTCCTACACTAATTGGCCTCTTGTAGCAGCCCTGGATGATAGATGATGATTTGTGGATCAGTCTGTGGAATGAGAATTGGCAGAGGAAACCAAAGTACTTGGAGAAAACTTGCCCCAGTGTCACTTCGTCCAAGACAAATCCCACATGACCTGAGCCGGGTTCGAACCCGATACTCCGTAGAGGGAACCCGGCAACTAACCGCCTGAGCGATGGCATGGTCCTACTTTACAAAGAAAGGGTTAGAAAATAAAAACAACGCTTTCCGGGAAGAACTAGTCGCCTGGTTTTCGTATGACACGGACCGCGTAAAAAACGAAAAACTTAGAGGAGGATACACAGACAGATCGACAGATACATACAGGTGCATGGACAGACAGGAAGATGATCTCATGAGTCACTTTTATTTATTTATTTTTTGAATAAGGACATTAAGCTAAAGTGGAATTCACTTGTGACACTTTTCGACCACTTCTTGTTAAGGTGAAGTGGATTATGTAATAGGGATTCCAGTATAGCTGATATGTACAATCCTAACTGGTTCTTCCCGTATTCAAGGACAACGTCCACAGTATCCTTTCATGTATTTTATTTTTTCTTTCAACAGATACGCACAGTTCATGGAAATATACTTCGCGCTGATATCCATTTTTTTCTCTTCACTATCCACATTCAGATAAATACCACTGCATTTACACGTAGTTGGCATACCCTCGTCAATGCTGAAATTACCCCTGGGCTTATTTTTGATTAAAATAAGCGCGACACCATGGAGATGTATGGGGAGTGGAGGTGTAGCTTCACCATTCTTAACCTCGGCACTGGATGGAGTTGGTTAGCTTCACGCCTCTGCCGCCTTATCCCCGCTGAAACAACCTCTGGTACCCATTGTATAGGAGGCTAGATTGAACCCAGAGGCGGTCTGGACGTTTTGGAGAAGATAAAATCTCTTGCCCCCTACCGGGAATCGAACACTGACTCCTCTGCCGTCCAGCCCGTAGCCTAGTCGCTATACCGACCGAACCATCGCAGCTAATGCCGAAAGTGTGGTGACGCTATTCCTCAACTCCCTCATGCGCCTTCATGACGTGGTGCTTACTTAATTAGGCGCAAGCATAATTTCGCCCTTTTTGTCCCTTTACTCTCGTGAAATACATGATGTGCCCTTCAGTCTGTGGCGGTGTCCGCGCTTTCGACACACTAAACGTGTACACCTCGATTTCATTGTAATGAAAGTCAAGGCTCTGCGTTGCCATAATAACGTGCCACGTTCTCAGAGTTTAATGTATTCGTTGGGTAATATAAAATGCGAATACATTGACACTGGATATTATCGAAACCGTCTTACTCATCACTAGTGAACAGTTCAGAGGAAGTTTTTTTAGAAGAAATTGACTTACGAGCTCCTTTACGACCTGAATGTTTTTTGTTACTTGGGGTGGGGCGAGACTGAGTTACCTTGTTTCGTCGGCCACTAATTGGCCTATTGCACCAGTTCCAGGTGATAGATGATGAATGTGGAGCATTCGGTGGAATGAGAATTGACAGGGGAATCCGAAGTACTCGGAGAAAATCTTCCCCAGTGCCACATTGTCCGCCACAAATCCCACATGAACTGAACTGGGTTCGAACCTGGGCCGCCGCGGTGGGAAACCGACGACCAACCGCCTGAGCTATGGCACGGTCTTGAAGTAAGCTAACTCTCTGAATTGGAAGAGTGGAAGTAAGTGCTCACGGCTCAATTTGAAGAGAAGTGCGAAAATCTGAATTAGGACCGTCTTGCCTGCGTTGGATCCGGACACCTTTCGAGCAGGAGTCAGAACACCACCGCTTGATCCAACATGCTAGGTGGCAGGGTGCAGGGGTTCTGTATAGTTCAGAGAGACATGCGATTTCAGTCAGAGAAATTACGCATGTGATGATGTGGCGAAGAAATAAAATCAATTGTTCCACCATAATATTTTCGTCAGCAAAAAATCGACGCGAAGGCTAATGACATATGTAACCTAAACTGAAAGACGACTTCCGTTTGTACTGTGACTGACAGGAATGGCGCCGATCACAGTCTAAGGCATGAACAGTGTTCTCCCACTCGAACACTGGGATCGTGGGTTCAAATTCCACTCGGGGAATCAATGTCCTTGTGCTTTTATTCTGTTTGTGTTGTTCTGTGTGTATGTAGCGGCCTTGCGACGGGCTGATCTCCCGTTTGAGGAGTCCTGTCAATAGGATTAAGGAACTGAGAAGCGGCCAAGGCCCAACAAAAGGCCATAGAGCCATAGATAGGTAGACGCGAATGGCTATAAGTGGGTTTATTGTGCATATAATTATTGTCATTGTAGTCAGGACAGACCATCTGAAACACGCATTGTCTCCAAGAACTGATATAATGAAATATCTCGATCGACAGCCACGTTATCTTTCTCTTGAAGCAAACTAAGAACAACTAGATATAGAATGTCCGGATGAGAGGTATCCAAACTAAAAAATGTATATCTCGGAAACTAATTGTCATACACATATCCGGTTTATATTATCGGAAAGATAAACTGAACGTTTTTTATACCCGGCTTACGAACATACGCCGCCATATTTTTGCCGTTATATTAGGAATTACCTGGACAGAGAGATGGCTGGGATATGAATTGGCAGAGGTGGACCAATCGCATGGCCTCCTAGGTCGCCAGATTTAACCCCAGTGGATTTTTTCTTGTGGGGTTATGTGAAGAACATTGTCTACCAGGTTAAGATCAACGACCTTCATCACCTGAAAGTCCGCATAAGGGACGCTGTGGCTACGGTCACACCAAACATGCTTCAAGCCTGGATATTTGTCGTGTCACCAAGGGAGCCCACATTTAAATTTATTGAGAAAGTTACGTACACAGGACAAACTTTGATACGCGTAGTTTCGCTTTGTAATGGTGTAACCCATTAATGTGTATAATAAATTCTTTCTGAGATATAATGATTTTATTTTGGATACCTTTCACCCGGACACCCTGTATATGCTTCTTAGTCTACTAGAAGATATTCATATAGATACTGCAACATCTTATTTACCTTGGTTCTCTATATTTCCGAAACTCATGGTCCGCGGGTCACCAATGATCCGTGAACAAATTAAGTTTTGAGGTTTTCACGGCGATGACTATGAAGAAAGTCGTCTTCTGGGTTTAGGCGCCGTATGTTCTTCGTTTTGGCCGACGTTTCGGAGGAACGTATCGCCTCCATCTTCAGAGCAGTTGAATGGCTTGGAATGCAGAGAGCAGTAGCTACGTCGGCCAAAACGAAGAATACACAGCGCCTAAACCCAGAAGACGACTTTCTTAATAAATTTCAAATGGTCCACCTCCATTTTCAAGGTCTGAGTCTTCCATTTGTAAACAGATACACAAGTGGTTGAATAAATTTCACTTTTATTCTAT